CAATTCGCTTACGTCTTAAGTCTTACTGCTTAAGTTTTTTTATGTGCCACGGCCCTTACTGCTTAAGTTTTTTTTATGTGCCACGGCTCTTACTATTTAAGTTTTTCTATGTGCCGCAGCCCAGCTCCATAAAGTTAGCCGGTCAACATTCACTTTTATAATTTTTTTTTTTATGGATCGTTTGTTGGTCGTTTGTTGGTGATTGTTGGTCTAATTACAACGTTTGTTGGTTAATATTTTTTTTGAAAACACAAAAACAAAATTTTGTGTGAAGTTAGCCGGAAAGATATTTTTGTTTCAAACTTAGTTCAATCGATGCGCAATCGTTTGTTGGTCACAGAAAAACTAATTAAAACGTTTGTTGGTTCATATTTGCCTCGAAAAACAAAAAGAACTAATGCACTCTGATGGAGGGGGGAGGGGGGTTGGAGTCGTTTGGAGTATTTCGTATGACGATGCCGTGACATATACGTGAAATTTTAAGTGCGAAAGAATACAGTACAATTATTAGTTGTTTACGGACAGCATGAAAAACACAGGTATGCAACAAAAAATCTGTATATAAATAATAAGGTAACTATAAAGCCCGGTCTACAATGAGTCGTTAGTCGTTAGCAAATTGACCAATCACAGTCTATTATTCCAAGAATATTCTAGGATAAATCTAACAACCGTTACATTACATGTTATTCCCATGTTATATAGCAGTTATATTCTGTGTTTGTTGGGATATTATTTCAAATAGCCTCGACTCATAAGAAATATCTAGACACGATACGTTCTTTCAAAAAGTGCATAGTAACAGGAATGCATTTATGATACACCTGAAGCATCTTTGAAACGAGTTTATCTTATCTAATTCTTGATCTACTTGATAAAAATAAAAAGCTTATTAAAGTTTTATCTTTTTTCTGCAGTCTCGCTCTTTGCTACCTATTTGATTCGGTAAGTGAACAATTCAAAACTATTTATGAAATTACACTCAAATTATATATTATTTTTGTTACATCTATTGGTAGCGATACCCAAAAGTATCAAAAATTTATTATATTTTACACGAAAGGCGCGCAAACCAAATAACTATTCGAAGTGACATATATTACTCCATTACGTCACTTTTTTTTTATCAATGCTGTTGAAGTCTCGACATATAGATGTCTATTAATATGTTAAAGTCGCAAGTTTTAAATGCATTCAGGTTAATCGCTGTTACTGACTGCAAGCGATCGTATTTTACGTTACTATACGTCGCGAAAGTTGTTCGCAAAGCAAATTATTTAGGACCTATTGTACGCAGAAGAACGCAAATCGAGAATTCAAGTAGCGGACGATACTCGTGGTGTGTGATATCTGTGAGATATGAATCTCGAATTAGAAATCCCGTTAGATGATAAACAAGTGATTACTTACTAATAACGTACTCGAAACACATTCAACTTCAATGAGTTCCATAACGCTATAAATACAAAATAAATCACGTTAATTCCTCATTTGTGTGGTCTTTTCTATTGTCACGAATAAACATATGAATGAATTTTTGTGTGTATATAATATCGAAAAATCTGATCTCGATGAAATTATGCACCGACTTGAAATTTTTTTTTAGTACGTTATTAGTAGTAGCATAGTTGAACAGTACTTTCAATAAGATTACTATTTAAATATTTATTTTTGCAAGTAATATTTGTGTTGTTTATTATGGATGTAGATAAGAATTCATATTTTAAGCAATATATAATTAATTTGCATAACTTCAAATCTGTAACTCCTTTGTTTTTTTCTTTTTAGTGTGAAACAAGCATATTCGACAATGAGTGTGGACATTACTTTGTATACATTACCCAACAATCAGCCTGTTGTTGCATTAGAATGTGAAACTGCATTTAAAGCTTTGACACAAAAGGAGAAACTATATGCCCATTATTTGAGTCAAGCAGCATGGAATGGAGGATTAATAGTATTAATACAAACATCACCGGAATCTCCATTAATATTTGCATTGTTACATAAAATTTATCTCGCAGAACCTATCGACGAATTGAAAAATGCTGCTACATGTGCCAATGTTACCGAAGATGAATTTACGGTAAAAAGAATTGTTTCTTCTTAACATATTGCTTTTATGCTGTCTCTTTCACCTTCTTTTATATTTGTAGATTATTAAATAAATATGTGTATTAAATGATATATTAAACAAAATACCTCTTCTTTTATAGGCTTTCTTAGTTTACAGTTGCGGAATATTTGCTAATGCAGGAAACTACAAAGCTATGGGTGATACTAAAATTATCCCCAATCTTCCCAAAAATACATTTGAGACAATAGTGAAAGCTTCAAAGGCCTATAAGGATAATCCTACAGAAATACATGATATTTGGAATAATATATCAAACAGCCTGTATTCTTTAGATGGCAAGCTGAAGTCACTGGGATTAAGCGATAAAGGTATCACAACTTATTTCTCTGCAAACTGTACTAAAGAGGATGCAGATAGGGTCAACGCATTTATGGAACATAAGGGATTGGAATCCTATAATGCAAGATGCTTCAAGACGACAACGCACGATCCCTCAGCTAACGATAAATGCATCGATGTATATGAAATCAAACTGGCATCCGTGGAGACCTTAGACGATCCTAAAATAACGCTTCCCGAAGAAACATATGGAAATGCTAGATTTAAAATCACAAGAGGAGATTACAGCAAACTATTGGTGCCAGTCGTGGAGAACCTCGGGAAAGCCAAGGAATATGCGTCCAATCAGATCGAAAAAGATATGTTGGATAGGTATATTGATCATTTTAGAACAGGATCTTTGAATGATCATAAGAATGGTTCTCGTCTTTGGATAAAGGATAAAGGACCGGTTATTGAGACTTATATCGGCTTCATTGAGACGTATAGAGATCCGGCGGGTCAACGAGGAGAGTTTGAAGGTTTCGTGGCGATGGTAAATAAAGAAATGTCTGCAAAATTTGCTACATTGGTTAATAGAGCCGAAGAATTGATTCCCAAGTTACCATGGAACAGCGATTTTGAAAAAGACACATTCTTGAAGCCAGACTTTACCTCCTTGGACGTCCTAACGTTCGCGGGTTCTTGTATTCCATCGGGAATTAATATCCCGAATTACGACGAGATCAGGCAATCGGAAGGTTTTAAGAATGTATCTTTAGGGAACGTTTTACCTGCGCATATGAAGGACGTTAACGTGATTCCGTTTCTGTCTGAAACCGACCAGGCGTTGATGCACAAATACAGGATAGCTAGCTTCGAGGTGCAAGTTGGTCTACACGAGCTTCTCGGCCATGGTACCGGTAAATATTTCAAACAGACAGGGCCGGATAGCTTCAACTTCGATCGCGACAACGTAAAGAATCCTCTAAATGGAAATAAGATAGACAAGTATTTTCTAAAAGGAGAGACCTACGACTCTAAATTCGGCGCCATGGGATCTTCATACGAGGAATGCAGAGCAGAGGCGGTCGGTCTTTATTTGAGTTTGGAGAAGGAAGTGTTGAATATATTCGGTTATGAAGGATCTGAAGCAGATGACATAGTCTATGTGAACTGGCTATCTCTATTATGGGCTGGTTTCGCCAAAGCCTTCGAGATGTATCAACCGTCCACCGGGACATGGTCGCAAGCTCATGCTCAAGCACGTTACGTTTTGCTTAGAGTGTGCTTGGAAGCGGGACAGGATTTTGTTAATGTTGTCGAAACTGAAGAAGGAAAGAATCTTCTAATGACTGTGGATCGAAGGAAAATTTCCACAGTCGGTAAAAAAGCCATCGGAGATTTTCTCTTAAAATTGCATGTTTATAAGAGTATAGGAGATATCGAGTCAGCTAAGGAAATATATGACAGATATAGCGAAGTGCCTGAAAGTGGAGTGCATCCGTGGGCTCATTGGAGAAATATAATCCTGTCTCGCAAAGAGCCAAGGAAGATCTTTGTTCAATTAAATACATTTATTGACGGTACGTGTTAAAATAAAAAATTAATAACTATATGTATATTTCAAAGTTAGGAGACATGTTTTTCGATGATGTTCTTTAAGCATATGTGTTACCTAAGTTATATATGCTTATCGCGACTTATGAATAAATTTTTCTTTTAATTTTAATTTTTCTGTTTGTTACAGGCTTTGATCCTAGTAATGTGATACTGAAGAATTATGAATCCTCATTTACAGGACTTATTCAATCATGGATAGAGAGGTTTCCAAATTTAGACACATCTCAAACACTGATAGAGCTTTGGAACAAAGATAAACATCATTTTGTACCGACAAATAATTAATCAGAGCACTTGTATATGTGAATCCAATTGTTGAAATTTAAAAATTTCCGTATCCATATTTAGTTACTCATATGAAGCTGGAATATATATTACATTATTTAAAAATATTAAGTTTTGCAATATTTTATTTCTATGAATTGACAATAGTTGATTTAATTTCAAAATTGGATATGTACATATAGAGTGCGCAACAGTTTAACTATTTATAAAACTGAATCCATGTGCGAATGGTTATAAGTATTATAGATATTATTGGACAAAATGATATATATCTAGTGTGATATTTATCGCTAAATCTTGTCCTTGATATACTAGGTTTTATATATTTTTCTAACATGTGAAACTGTACACACACAATTTAAATGAAATTTGGATAGCTATATTTAGCGCTAAATGTGCGTTGAGAATACATGAAAGAAAATGCATTTAAAAGTAGAAATATTCCGAGCTTGTATGGAACATATATAAAAATAATTCTAATAAAAATATATATACAATTCTTTATTCTACAAGTTGAAATATTTGTAGATGTACGAATATATGCACATTTTTTATTAATATATAGCATAATTTATTTGTAAACTACTTAGCATATATATAAAATATCAAAATTCGTTATTTAAATTTGATTATTTAAATGTTTGAAAAATCGAATTTTATTTTCTTATTTTTATTCTATTAATTTTATATTTATATAATATCGTACAACATAATTAATTACAAACATTTATTTTATATTTTTGGTTTCTTTATTTAGAAAAGCGAAAGAGAAATCTGAACAGCGTCGCTGGTCAACTTACTTATTTCGCGCATGCGCACTTTATTTTGGCCAATACTGGATGTCGACAGGGAGTTTCGCTACTATATATAAGTATTGTGTCTATGGTTTGAACTTTGAACTTGCCGAGTTTTGGCGGTAAAAGTGGACGAAAACGGAGCGAGTGTGACTACATGCAAAATGGAAAGAAAGGATTCTCTGCGGAATTTGTTCCAAGAGTTGGGCTGTAAAGTCGAAAGTGATGCCATTCTCGATAAATGTAAGCTCTTCTTTGATATATAATATATAATTCATAAAGATATCGATAGTTTTTCCCTAAAATTACAATCTTGCACTTTATGTTGACTTGATCATAAATGTAAAACTTGTTGAAAATTAAATTTTAGAATTATATCTTTGAACGATCAAATGAATGTATATCTTTCGTAAAACGGCAATTTTATATGTAGTGCAAAAAGGATATATATTTTATTTCTCTCTCTCTCTCTTTGTTCTCCTATAACCTTACTTTTAAAACTGACAAATATCTTAGCTATTTACAATTTAAGAGATTTGGAAAAAGAGAATACCGTTAATTTTGGCCATATAATTGAATATGTTCTTTTTATTTTTTTCCAATTCTAGTTTTGCAAAGACGTGAAAAAGATTATAGGAATTAAGATTAAATTTATACAATGTTGATGAAGCTTGGTCTAAATAAATTAAAATATTAGTATTATTTTATGCTGACTGCATTCCATATATTAAAAATATTAGAAATTTTATTTCCTGATATTTTAATTGAAAAGCAGATATAATTGGAATTAATGACTATATGACTATGATGCAGGTTTCGAACTTTGCGAATCTTACAATGTGGACGTGGAGAAGCTTACGGAACTGTGGCTTACTTTTTGTGTCAATAACAATAACGACATTGATCCTACTCTTGAAACTCTCGTTAACATGGAAAATACAGTCTTGAAAAAGGATTATAAATTGCATGGTTTAATCATGGAAAATAATACGAATAAAAAACAAAGTACAATGGATAAACAAGGATTTAGTGCAAATAGAGATACGTATCCTTTAATATCTTATGAAATTGTCTTTATTTTGAGACATAGATAAATAATAGTTTGAGCTCTTTAATGCATATATTGCGCCTTACATATGAACATTATAGTGAAAACGATGATATGCTTAGCATGTATGGCTGTGCCGAAACTAGACTATCAAAGGTAAGTTTTTATTACCTTTATTGATTTAGTTATATAGAAGATAGTAATATATGTATAACTTTAATTAAGATATTCCTTAATTATGAAGTACGAAGATGTGACTATTTTATTAAATCATTATTCTATAAATTTCATTTAGAAATAATATACATAGCACTATATAGTCAATTTTTTTTTTAAATATAATTTGCACTTGCCAACGTGGCAAATATTCGAATATACTCTTAAACTTTTAAGTTTGTGCGAATGGATGTTAACGCGAGACACCTGTTGCCGGAACGGCAGGAATCGTCCTTATAACAATGCTATTCCTGGAAGGATCACGAAAAGGTTCCTTCAAAACACCGAAACGAAACGATTTTCTTTCAAAAAATACTAAGAAATTTATTAAGTTGACTCGTGCCAACATTCTGCCAACATTGTCTCGCATTCCTTGCAGTCGATTTATAGTATCCCTTATTTGAGCTTTTTGCTACATCGTGCACTGCTTTCTTCTCATATGTATACATGCACGAATTTTTATGCCGCTCGAAAGTGTTCGCGTAGAAGCTGCATAACATTTTCGAAACGTATCGCCCCGTCGACAGGTAAATTCTTCGAGAAACATAAAAGAGATATCGTTAAAGGACCTTTCACGTATAGAAATATATATGTGTGTGTGTGTATATATATATATATATATATAATAATTCCCACTACAAAAATCGTCCACATTATCCCGCCTCTCCCTTCCACGAAGGATATTCCGTCGAGATGTAGAGGGGAGAGGGGGCAATCCCCGTTTCTATTGGTGGAACGAGGACAGAGCGCGCTACTCCAGCGTGATGAGGAAGAGAGAGAGGGTCTTTCCTTCTCCCTCCCCTATCCCGAGATCCGAGCAGATTTCTTTCGAAGGGCACGATTTCAGTTTTCAAGGACTTCCCAGTGTACCGTCGTCGGTTCGTTGCTCGCGTTCGCGCATGTCTCCTCGGATTCGGAGATTCACACTTTTCACGATCCACGCTCGCGCATTATTTTTCGTTCGGTGCTCGACGAGTCAATAACACTTTGCAGTTACACGATTCGTATCGTTACGGATTAGCTATTACACGGCTCGGTAATCTCGATGGCGTCGCCGATGCAACGCCACCATCAGCGTCTGACACGGCGTCTCTCGTCGCGAGTGAAATTTCTTTCGAATAATCGGGGCCCCGCGATTCGTCTCTAAACAATCAGTTTCGGGTAAAATCTTTTAGCAGCGATCGCGCATCGATCACCGTTATCTGTGCGTATGTGTGTGTGCGTCATGTGTACATGTGGTGTCGTTTCTAAAAAGTTACGTATCGCCGATGCGACGAACGCGAGAGAGAAGCGGCAACTTTGGCGGCCATGATGGATTTTGGCGCGAGTGAAGCTCGCGAAGGCGAACGGTCATCGCGATCATTGCGCGGCGATACCTTTGTCACGATTCTATATTGCGGCGATGCACGATCGCGATCGCGAAAGCGGAAATCGGAGGCTCGATCTCGTCGTGATATGCGTGCCGCGCGGTTACGCGCGCATGCGCATTCGTCGGAGAGAGAAGCGCGCGGACACGAGTGCGTCGACCGTTGGTTCGATGAATCCTGTTGATCGCGTCGCCTGTTGCTACAACCTGTTGCGCCGACCACGAACACGACACACGGCGTGCATTCCGTTCTTATTTTAATCTTTAATATCGCTCGTAAAATAACGCCCGACTACGGATTCGATTCTCGCGGGGAGACGATCGCGTTAGATAATTTTCTTTAACTACGAATTGAAAGGTCAGTATGAGTATGGGATTAAAATTTAAATTTTGCTGCCGTTAAAGATTCAAAATTAATATAATTTATGTTTTCAAAGTTTATCACACATTGCAGCGAACAGATATATTATTTCCTTTAATGGTGCAAAAATTTGAATCGTCATTTCTGGACACTGTTTCTTTAAAGCCGGAATCTCTTTGATTTCATTATTTACTTGTAAAATTCATGTAATTTTTTTTTTTTTTTGTTTTATTTTATATAATATTTCAAGATATAATATTATAATATTTATAATAATAAATTAAATTAAATTTACATAATTATTATAATATTTCAAGATTGCTGATATATACGTATAATTATTTCTCTTAAATTCTTTCATTTTTTTCAGTCTAAAGTTACGTAGAGGAAGAAAACAAATCTTGTAATCGCTTAAGGAATACAGCATTAAAGGATTTTCAGCGTTAGAGATTTTCCAGCGAATCTCATCGACGGTTACCGGCTTTCGTTGGTTCGCCGCAAACTTTCTCTCCGATCATTCGTCGAGAATCAATCGACAGACCGTCCCGCGTTCCCGCCGATCGGCAGTGCGAATAATTTGCATCTAGCGCATTCGAGCAACGGGTTCCTGGCGTAGACATGTTAGTGTGTCTCTCTCTCTCTCTCTCTTTCTCTCTTCATCAATTAAGCACAATTGAGCAACAACTGTTCCAATCTCTTCCCTCGCCCGCACGGCTTTCGGTCCGTCGGGCATTTCTTTCATCTCTATCCTTTGCGCCGCGTGACTCATGTCAGATGAGATAGATCAATATCCGTGGACGTCTAAACGCGCGTGAACAGTCGATCGAGACGGTTGGATCGTTTCATTAGGGACGTGAGTACGACCGTTGAAAATTTAACGTACTTTTTCAACGGGAACAACAGGTCGAAAGATGTCAAGGATAAATGGGAAAAAATATTGGAGCGAAGGGAGAGAGAGAGAGAGGAAGTCAATCGAGACACTTATAGTCTCGTAAGTAACATCTAAGGATTTGTTTCTGTACAAAATATCACAGACTGAGAAAATTATGTTTTTATTTTCAATTTTTTACAGTCGAGATTTTTCCTTAACAAAAATGTTGAAGGAGATAAAGTTTTCAAGTTGATTCAAACACAATTGAAAGCGGAGAGCTTTTTAGGAATTAAATTTTAAAGGTGCAAATATAATAAAATCTTATTTATTATCTAGATTTGAGCGCTGATAAGCGAGAATTATTATTATTTTTTTTTTTTTTTTTCCTTTGAAAAAAATATATTCTAGTAAATTTAATGTTCTATCAGTTTAAATATATAGAAACAAATTTGTTTTTCAAATCTGAGGTTACCTATAAATAGATAGTGTGTCTTTGTGTCTATATCGATTACACATTCTGAGCCTAACATTACGTGGCCTTTGTTTGTCGATATAGCAATGAAATTATCGAGTTAGTAGAAAGCTCCAATAAATCAGTGTATTTTCTATATCTTCTCATCGCGTCAGCTTGATAAAAACGGATAGTTCGAACGAAAAGTCAAACTAATTCCAACGATAATATTTACGGACACAGATAGCGGACACAGAGAATAGCACTCTACACAACGATAAACCAAGCTTATTGTTAGTCAACGAGACGAATTATAAAACTCGGCTTTCTCGAAAACAGAAATTTTATTTTACGTATTCGATTCGTTTTTAAACGAGGAAAACCGCTCCTCGATTGTACCAC